GAATTCTTGGTCAGCGAGGTGACGCGTTACGTGGACAAGCCGATATAAGTGAAATACGAAATATTACTATCATTGTGTAGCCTATTGTGTCTAGTTTATATGCTATAGATTTTAGCTTTTCAATTGCTTTCGTTCTTGTTTTATTCATAAAATAGTATAAATCTGTTCAATTATCACGTATAAAAAATTATGGGCACGAATTTAAAAAAAAGTTTTTATCTCGTACTAGTATAAATAGTAGTGAATTTTCAGTTTTATGACATATAATCGAAATGGTATTCAAGAAACAAGACAATATATAATTCGAAAATATAAACAGACGAAATGTATCAGCAATTTGTTCGGAAGTGGAGGCAAACGAAAAACAACAGCAGCAACAGATCGATTTATTGTACGAAAGATCAAGATCAATCGACGAAAATCAGCTGATATGGTGAAAGACGAAATCGAATTCGAGTTAGAAATCTCATTACATGCTAATACAATTCAAAACAGACTTCATGAAGCTGGATTGTTTGGCCGTATAGCACGAAAGAAGCCGTTGGTCAACAAAGTAAACCGAGGAAAACGTCTGAAGTATGTCAAGGACATGTTAAAGAAACCAATTAACTTTTGGGAAACAGTGATTTTTAGATATTAGTACAAATACAAGTTGTTATCAAATTCTTCAGATCTTGTACGAACTGTTCCACCGGAGAAAGTACTTGCTTTAGAAGTCCATCATAATCCATTTAATATTTTCGGCCTTTTCTCTATTGTTGTTTCAACTATTTCACAATGAATTTCATTTTTACAGCATTTTCATAAATTCAAAAGCTTTATTCTGGACATTCAATCATACTTCACCAACAACACCACGTATCAATCAATTCTATAAGATACGTTTTCATTTTTCACAAAGCACTTTCACTTGCACACCTCATTATCAAGATGGTAAATTGACCTTTGTGAGAAATGAAAAAGTACCACACTTATATTAAGCATACGACCTATTCTACATGGCGACTAATTGTCGCTCTTATTATATGTTATTTTGTTCCAAAGAGAGAGAGAATCGTTAATGAACATACTTAATTGATTGATGAGTTATTTGTTCTGACAATGAAATCTTCAAGAAAACTGAATAGATGCAAATTTTGACCTCATATTTTTTTCAGTAATACATTACATTCATTTATAAAAAAATCCGTGAATTTCATGAAATATTGACAAAATACAATGCTTTCAAAATCGAAATATTTTCGGTCAGATGTTTCTCGAGTAGAACAAGAATCGTCCTCAAAACTAGAGATGTTAACCGAGCATTTAATCGGTGACTACGGCGGCGGCGACCGCGACGACAAAATTTTTTCTGTGTTATTACACAAGGTCGTTCGTAGGTTCCTACTGTTACTGCAAACATTAGACGTTCTGTTTTCACAGAATTATAATACTGCTTCTCTCTTAGCACGCTTATTACTTTTTATGCAAAAATTTTCCCACTAGACGTAACTTTATTTTCATTAATTAAAAAATTCACACCATCTCCTCATAAAATAACTTCAAACCACACAACAATAACTCATAATATAAGTCAAAATAGCATTAATATGACTATCCATCTAAAATACAAATTAAATTCAAACATGATAGCTAAAATTGGATCATAAGTGAAATGAATATTGAAATTAGAATTTGAATCCAAATTCATATCGATACTTTTCTGTGAGTTGAGAAAAAGAGTAAGATTTATTTTCATTGATTATTCGAATTCAAATTCAAACTAAATATTTTTCTTTTTTTCTAAACTGGCAGGAGAGTATCGATTGGGGTTCGAATTCGAAATCGTAATATTAGTTGAGGTATGTTCGGATTTCCGAAAAAGGAAATTACAGAAATTTCCGAAGCTTCCATCAACTCGACAACTACATAGCAAAGCAAATGAATATATTTTAGAAATATTGGAAAGTTTAGAAATTTTAGAATTTTCTGTAATTTCGGAAATTTCGCTACGTATAGAATTTTGGAAATTTCAGAAATTTCGGAAATTATATAATTTTGGAAAGTACCAAACAATTTAGAACACAAGTGCTTGAAATTTCCAAAACTTCCGAAATTTCTTTTTTCGGAAGTCTGAACACTGCTGTATTAGTTACATTTATATTCGAACTCAAACTAAACAGTTATAGTTGAAATTGCATGAAGGAAGAAGGCAAATGAGAACATAATAAATATGGTAGCGTCACAAAATTACAAGGAAACATATTTACTTATCAGCTCGGCTTCCAGATCATAAGTCATCCAAGACAAAATATATTAATTCCTATTTTTTAAAAGTTTTCCTGATTTCAGCAATCTCTAATTGCCACATAGATCAAACTTGAGATATTATTGATTATTATCAACAAGTGATAATTTAGAACAAGAGGAAGCTTGAACTGTGGCCTTTCGCTCGATCGGTAGTTAACACCTCTACGTTCATGTACTTATATACAGAAGTACGCTTTTCCCCCTCGTTTTAAACGGTGCCAAGCGTTAGAAAATACAAAAAACGAAAAGATTCATTTCTTTTGATTCGTTAAAGAATGATAGACTTTTAAGTTGTTTTTACACCAAGGTAATGTCATCCAGTAGAGAACACATAAGAAAAAATCATTTTCATTATCAGCCATATCAAAGTTTTTTTTTCTTTCTTTCTTTTCGTCAAACAAAGATTGTCACAAGGAATATAAAAAGACACGATATGTTACGAAAACACTTTACGTTGCACATCTCCTTGTTTTTTAGAGAGCACATGAAACTATTTGAATTCTATTAACCTATTATTATTGATTCCATGATATTTTTAATTTTAATCTATACATTTGTGACTATTGTTCTTTTCACACTGGTGATCATCTATTTCAAAATTATTCGTCCACAGAAATGTTTATATGATACATTGCGTGCACAAGGTGTCAATGGTGAACCATTTGTACCTTTGATTGGTCAACTTCCACAATTTCGTCGTTATCGAAATACTGACATGATTATGAAATTTCAAGAAGATTTAGTGAAAAAACATGGAGATTTATTTGTGTTTGGTTTTGGACCTATAATACGTCTTGTCATTAATGAACCTGATTTACTTGCTGATGTACTTAGTCGAACTAATGCACAAAATTATATTAAA